GGATTCTAAAGGATTCTATAGGATTCGATAGGATTTTCTAGCATTCTTTAGGATTCTACAGGATTCTATAGGATTCTCTAGGATTCTCTCGAATTCTCTAGGATTCTACAGGATTCTATAGGATTCTCTAGGATTCTCTAGGATTCTATAAGATTCTGTAGGATTCTCTAAGATTCTCTAAGATTCTATAGGATTCCCTAGGATTCTATCGGATTCTTTAGACCAAAAAAACAAGGTGCCTTAAAGGGCGAAGATGTTTCACGCATGGACGAGCAAACGCCTGCATTAGCCACAGATTTAAACTTACCTGGCTGGTGTTGGGTCTGTACCCTGCCGCTCGCTCACACACTCGTGGGTCGAGCAATTCACTGCGGCTTCAACCCTGAGCGGGTTTAGCAAGCTTGTCCTGTAAAGCCGGTCTCCTCTAAGATGGGCTTCCACCGGGAGGTGGTTGGAACCTTAGAAGTTGATCGCTTACGCGGCATTCTTCTAAACTGAGAAAAAGGGGAGAAAGGTCGTAACCAGGACGGCCTTTCGCTTCCACAAAAGCCGGCAGGCACATCATAACCATAACCCTCAAGGGATGATTGTGGTGATCCAAGTTGCCTTGCACGGGGTGTCGGCACCGTTGGAAGTCAAAGGTTTCAAGCCTAAGGCCTCCTAAGTAAAAGAGGCTCCCCGTCGATGGCAACGTGAAGGATGGGCCCCTTCAGGATCACCACTTTTTATACCTAATGTCCGTGGTTTTCACATGATATTCCAAATTAAAAGAGGAGTCCACTACGCTTCACGGATGATATTCTTAAAGTCGGCCTTTCACTTTGAAACTAAGGGAAATTCGAATCGCTAAGATTCCTATTGTGAAAGTACATTCCAGCAATGCTTTCATACCATCCATCTTCATTTCCGATTGCCAATCTAGCCCTCAAGAACAACGACCAATAAAGGAGTGAAAGGTGATTTTAAGGTACAGCCGGGAAGCGTCTGTGAGACCACCAGTTCCATACATCACCTTCCATTGATGCGAAACGCGAAATCAATCCATGCTCCCATAGAAAACCGAAAACTCTTCGACCCTTTTTCTCTTACCCTGGGAAAATTTTCCGTCCAACAAATCCAACCATCTTGTGTTTCAGCCAGAAGAATGAGAGATGCGGAGCGCAGAAACTGATTTGGCAACGCATCCATGGAATGTGGCGCCAACCAGACCAGCAGCAATACACCGTGTTCCATGCGCAGGCACTCGCAAAGTCTTTCTTTCGTTCCAGACGCACGGGCTTTTTAAATTGGGGCTAGATGGGCCGCTGTGCCCGGGGTAAGGAAAGGAACGGGTCGACCACCAGAAGCCCTAAGGATATATGATACTTCCAATTAGTGCCACGGGGCGAAAAAAAGATTTTGAGATGCGCGCATGGAGCACGCAGCCGAACAGAGAGGACCGACCAGTAACGTAGGGATAGTGAACTCCAGGGTTCCCAGCTGGTCGGGTTTGATTGCACTTCTTGCTGCCGCCGAATGCAATTGCGCATCTAAGGAAAACTGCTCTACGTATGCGTTTTACGGGAGCCGACCCTTGGATGCAGTTTGGTTTTCTCAAGTAGGAGATGTCAGTAGGCAGCCCCTGCCCCGTGGGCTCAGGTAATTCCGAGCCGTGCCTGGTGTGTCTCGGCTGCAATGTGGTGGACACGTCCCCCAGCACCACAATCCGATGGCAGTGCCGTTCCATAGGCAAAGCAGAGCCGCAATTTTTAGTGGGTCGAACATTTCATATCAGCATAATCAGATAGAAAGGTAGGTTGTAGTATGCAAAAGTCCCAAAAACGGTTTGGAAACTACTGCTGGAAGAGATGACTGGCTAGCCGCATGTCTAACGTTGCTTGGCCTACCCTACTTAGGTATGATACCTTTTTTTGCGGGCCTTGGCTGCATCCAGATGCATCGGTTGATTGTCCTTTGTTGTGCTTTGTTCTTCTCTTGGATGGCTACATGTCCGGACGTGGATCGGATCAAGGCTGCCCCTGCGCTCCGGCCACCAGTGCCACTTCAGACGCAATGACTAACAAAGCAAAGAAAAAAGAGAAGAGTGACACGGGCCGGGGGGGAAAACCCAGACATTCTAACATCCAGAGTGTGAGCTGCTGTTCCCATGCTGTGACATCACCTCTGCACCTTGGACTGAAGGCCCGCTTGAGCTGCAATCCACCGCAGCTTACTTTCGAGCTCAAGCTTCAAGCATTCTACTTTTCAATCCCCGTTGTGTCCCAGGCCAGGTGGCAGCCGAGAAACATGGGCATAGGATGAAACCCCGGCCTAAGCACCACCGCAGAAACCGGAGCGCCCATGCCAGGACGACCATGGCCTCCAGTGATCTCCAGTGCAGCGACGAGTGCCATGAACGACGCGGCCGGGGATGCGTCTTGCCACAACGTGTACCGGCCATTGCGCTCCTTGTTTGGCTGCGCACCTGTGGCCGGGGACAGCAATTGCCTTGTCCATGCGTTGGGTGACTTGGACGCACGTGACGGAGCGGCATTGCGCAATGAGGTCGCAGCCTTCATGGTTGAAAAGGCCTGCAGCCAAGAAGGTTTCGAAGATGGTTGGAAGGAAGTTGAGGGGTGCACACGCCGTTACCGCCTCCTCCCTCATAAAGCACAGGCGCGTGGAGATTCACACGCTTCAGCCAAACGTGCAGCCGTGGTAACCGACGCAAGCCATGGCGATGTGGAAGGCGACTTGCACGCTCCTTTGTGCCGAGCCCTCCACAGCAATGACAACCACTGCGATACTTTGGTGGGACTGCTTCCAGGCCGGTGCACAGCCCCGTTTGTTTGGGAGCAGCCCCACCAATGCATCATAGTGGTTGCCGTTTCTGTAAAAGGAGCGTGCAAGTCGCCTCCCACGTCGCCGTGGCTTGCGTCGGCCACCGCGGCTGTACCATTTGGCTGGAGCGTGTGAATCTTCACCCGGGTGTGCTTCATGACGTGGATTGGATCAAGGCTGCCCATGCGCTCCGGCCACCAGTGCCACCTCAGACGCAATGACCAACAAAGCATATATAAAAAAGATAAGTTTGACACGGGTAGGCGGGGGGCAAACCCAGACATTATAACATGCAGAGTGCGAGCGGCTGTTCCCATGCTGTGGCATCACCTTTGCACCTTGGACTGAGGGTCCGCTTGAATTGCAATCTACCGCGGCCTACTTTCGAGCTCAAGCTTCAAGGATTCTAATTGTCAATCCGTTGTGTCCCAGGCCAGCTGACAACCGAGAAACATGAGCATAGGATGAAACCCCTGCGTAAGGACCACTGTAGAAACCGGAGCGCCCATGCCAGGACGACCATGGCCTCCAGTGCAGCGACGAGTGCCATGAACGACGAGGCCGGGGATGCGTCTTGCCACAGGGTGAGCGCGTGCCAGCCGTGGCACTCCTTGCCAGGCGCCTTCAACTTCGATGGTGCTTGGCTGCGTGCCTGTGGCCGGGGACGGCAATTGCCTTTTCCACGCGTTGGGCTATTTGGACGTGCGGGACGGAGCGGCATTGCGCAATGAGGTCGCAGCCTTCATGGTTGAAAAGGCCAGCAGCCAAGAAGGTTTCGAAGATGCTTGGCTCGAGGAGGCCGAGGAACTTCAGCAAGGAACTTGGGGAGGCCACACCGCCATTACGGCATATTCCCTCATGAAGCACGTCCGGGTGGATATCCACACACTCCACCCCAATGGCACGACTGTGGTGACCGATGCCAGCCACGGCAATGTCGGGGTTGACGTGCATGCGCCGCTGCGCCGGGTCCTTTACAGAAACGGCAACCACTATGATGCATTAGTGGAGTTGCTCCCAAATCCAAAGGGGTGGGCACCAGCGTGGAAGCAACCATGTCCGCCAGTGTACTTCAAGGAGGAAGAGAAGAAGCCAGAAGAGTTTCCTCCCTTGGACGGCAGTGCTGCACCGGGCCGCGGCAGAGGCCCGCGCTTCACCAAGCCCAGGCCGGGCGGCAAGCAGGGCAAGAAGGGCAGAGAAAAACAACCCACAGCCAAACCGTTGGCAGGCAAGGCTTCCGCACCTGAGGCGCCATACCCAATCCTCAGGCGTTGCACCACCAAGACGACGCCGCCGCCAGAGCTGCGAGACGACATCCTCACAGAGCTGTGCCGTATTCCGGTGAAACCAAGGATGCGGCACCCGCACCAGCAGCAGGAGAACTTCATCAAGGACAGTGCTTTTGACAAGCGCGGTGTAGGCATGCATTTCTTGTTTCGCACCCCCGTGATCAAAGAAGGATTGCCTGTTTTCATGTGCCGTGCTTAATCAAACCTTCCGCTGCAGCCCCCTTTTCTGCCAGGATCTGGCCACAAAGAAGCTGCGCGAGCACCCTACCCTACCGTCAGACGACAAGCTGGAGGCCGTGGACCATGGTGAGCTTTGGCCTCGCGCTTTCTGCGCTTTTGTCGGTTGCCCTTGGGTTGCCATGCATGGGAACGAAGGCGAGCTCCATGCCCATCTGCAAGCGGCACATGCCGATGACCTCGCCCCGATAGCTGCGCGGATGCTGCGAGGCAATGCCCCGGACGCCTTCTTGAGCATCTACAACGAAGCCATCGCAGTGAAATGCCGCAGCCAAGCCCCCATTGCGGGACCTTCAATTGACCGCAGGGCCGTGAAGTCCTTCGGCGAAGCATGCGAAGGTCACAAAGTGGAAGCCCTGGTCTGCTTCGTCTGTGCTTGTACTTACACGTATGTGGAAGAGCTTGCCGATGAAGGAAAGGGCGACGTTGAGTGGGTGCATCCTTTCAAGCATAGCCCCGATGAAGAGAAGCTTCTTTTCCTGGACCGGCCCATTGACGAAACAGGGGATCTCCTCAACTTGAAGACTTTCTTGGATCGCTATGACAAGGTTTCGGAAGGAGGCAACTGCCTCCAAGATCACGAAAGCTTCAGCGACTGGTCCTTGAGGTGGCCCAGCAATGCTTTGCCAGCCGGGCGCAGGATCCTTTGCTGCCCGGAGGACCCCTTCTTTGCGCCTGTGTGTACTTGTAAGAATAAGCGAGAGTCATTGCAGGCATGTACATGTTCTCTGCGCGCAAAAGAGTCTGCAAGAAGTAGCTTGGCAAGGGCGCCCCCAAAGAGCCAAAAGCAACATGGGGGGTTGGATTCAAACGGATTGTATATTAGTTGATGAACCCCTTCTGCCAGGACCGCCGCTGCAGCCTGGGGCACGAAGCAGACGATCTGGACCTTTGTGAAGGGCGCGAGCTTCCCATCTGCAGCAAATGTAAAGGTTCTTTGTCCAGAGGCGAGCTTCCTGCACTGGCGTTGGCAAACGACATGTGGACGGGCTGCGCACCGCAGTACTTCATCGAGCAGAAGGTCACGGTCATGGAAGCGATCTGCGCCAGCCCTTGCATCACAACTTTGGCTTGCATGACCATGGAAGCCCGGTACGAGGACAACGTGCGGCAGGAAGCCCAGGAAGCCGAGCCGCTCAACGCCATGGCGCACATGGCGCGACATCGCTTTGGTGCCCGCGGCAATGCCCTCACCTTTTCACTCCCGCTGGAAGATTTGTTCCTGGCGTTGCAGGGCCTTTCGAAGGATGCGGAGGAAGGACAACCCCTACAGCTGCCACGGGCTGGTACAGAATTGGCGCACGTGGCAAGAGTATTGCTAAAGACAAACAAGGAAGGCGCAACCAGCGAGAAAGACATCAAGACTTTGATTCATCAGGCCGTTGTGCGACGAGAGGCAGGGCCCAGTTCGATGCACGGAATGCCGGGGTAGCGTCCAAAGAAGCATCGCAGACATATGTAAACATATACCTACTGTGTAAATTTTAATTATCCTGCTTGTATTTGTATATAAATATTTCGCTTATTGATATCACTGAAAAAGTTGCAGAAGAAGATCATCCACCAACATGCGCTTGCTACCCCCCCATGTTACCCCACACCGGCCTCGGCGACAGGTGGTGGTGGACCTCATCCTAAGCATGCATCATTGCGGGCACCCGGCGTATGCCTCCATAGATGAGGAGACAATGCGGCACAGGGCCGCGGACCTACCTGAGAAGGGCATCCCACCCGAGGTCTGGAAGGTGGTGCAGGAAGCGGTCAGCAGCCACGACAAGCTACAGCCGCAGAAAGCGGCGACCCCTTGCGACGCCATGGAGAAGGTGGACGCGGCCGGCAAGACCTTTTCTGCGCAGAGAGCTCGGGCCATTGTGGCGGAAGGCGAGAGCCGGGAGGAGGCCAATGCAAGAGAGCTAGCCGCGCTGAAGGAGATGGAGGACAACCTCTTGACGGATGCCCAGAAGGAAGCCAATGCCGCGCTCTTGTCCCTCGAGGTCCGAACAGGCAACAAATTCCTGGATCAGTTTCGGCCGGAATACTTCGCCATTGTGTTTCCCTTCTGCTTCAAGTATGGCACCGCTTGCCCTGATATTGTCAACACCACGAAGATGCAGGGAGGTGAAGAAGGAGCAGCACCAGCGGCACGTGGGCATCTGTCTCGCCGCCATGCCGGCAACCCGGAAGCACCGCCCGTTGGCATCAGGGAATGGGCCGCGGCCATGGCAAGAAGAGTCGAAACGCAATTTCGCAGGGACTGGACCTTTGGCTTCACCCTCTGGAACTATTTGTTTCGCACCATGGTGAATCTCCAGAAGAATGCTTACATGTACGCCGTGCCCGATCCAAAAGCCCAAGGCGGCAAGCGCTTGCTTGGCAATGACGAGATCGGCGAAGGCTTCCTCGAGGTCATGGAGCGTCTGCGCAATGGCTTGTACACGGACGTGGCCGGTGCGCTGAAGCCCGTGCATGGCGACCTGACGAAGCTGCGGCACGCGCCCGGCTTGACCGTGGCCGCGCAGAAGGCCTTGTGCAACACAGAAGCACGGACGCGCCGCCTGCCAGGCACCCATGAAATTCGCAAAACCATGCGGCACCAGACCAATGCCAACCGAGTTGTCTACGGGACGGCAATCTTCATCACTTTCTCCCCACGCGAGCAAGACAGCAGCATCATGATGCGCCTCGTCCGTGCCCGCCAATCTGACCCAGCAGTCGTTGAAGACGGTAGTGCCAAGTTTCAAAAAAGGCAAACGCCAGCCCTGGACATTGACTACGTGAACCTGTCGCCCGAGGCCTTGGCAGAGGAGCCCGTTTTGATTTGCCAGGGGGTTGCTTATCTAGGTATAGGGCTTTGGTTGAAAGTTTGTATGTTGCGTAATTTGTGGCTAGCGCTCCTGCCAGGAGCTGCTGCCCTATGACGAGAGGAAGGCGCTGCTTGCCTGGGATCCTTTGGCCTGCGCGGAGGGTTTTCAAACCTTGGTGCTGCTGGCGCTCCGGCACCTCTTTGGCATCCGCTACTGCCGCAACTGCCCCAACTGCGCTCAGTCTGACAAACCCTGCACGGATGCCTTTGGCAGCAATGCCGTGGCAATGGGCGGCGTCTTTGGCCGCGTGGACGCTATCTACGGCTCCCTCGAATGTCAGAAAAGCGGCGCCGAGCACATCCATCTGCAAGCCTTCGTGCAATGCTTCCACCAATTTTTCTCGCTGTCAGAGCTGCAGGGCTGAACGAGCAACGGTTCCTGGAGATGCTCCGCCGCTGCACCAGCTATGCGGGCTATGTCCAGCGGAAGATCTACTGCAACAAAGAAGCTTGGGAAGAAGAGCGGGATGAAGTAGAGGCTGCCTGGCCGGAGTTCAAAGACTGCATGCTCATGAGCAGTCGGCCGGCTTACCAGCTGGATGAGGGCATGGAGCCCGCAGTATGGCGAGCAACCTACCTGGCCGAAGACGTGGAGGCCTTGCAGAAGCGAAAGCAACATCATGTGCACCTGCCGGGGCCAGACGGCACGCGACTCCCATTGAAGCATTGCCAAGACGCCAAGGACCCGACAAAATGCAAGAGCGGCTTTCCCCGAACAAACTGGCTGACCGACGCGCCTTTCGTGGTGTGCCCCGGCTTGGCGGGGGAGAAGGAGATGCCACACAGGGGCAAGCGCAGCATGGTCGGATTGCCTTGGGGGCCCTGCAACGAGCCCAACCTCAACGGCACCCATCCAGCCCTCTTGGCAGCACTTCGGTGCAATAGCGATGTCCAGCCGCCCTATAGGTTCCCGATGACACCCTTGAGCCACAGCAGCGATCTTTGCAAAGGAGGGTGTGAGAAGGTGCCAATTCGGACGCTGATTTGGGAGGCCCAAGTTAACCAAGCAGCGCAGGCGGGGTATGCGGCGGACTACCAGAACAAGCGCTTGCCCGTGGCCGTCAACGAGTGCAAAGAGTGGATGACGGCACAGAAGAATTTGATCGAAGAGCTTCAGGACAACAAGCCGGGCTATGTGGGAGCGCGGCTGGGCAAGCGCCTCATCACAGACTGCTATGCACGAGGCGTTTGCCGTGGGGCCGTGGAGTGCACCAGCCTGGTGACGCATGCCGAGCAGTACGAGAAGGACCCCACCTGCGCAGAGAGCGTCAAGACGGCCCCGGTGACGGACATGAGCTTGTTCTACGGCCTGCGGCTACTGGAGGCAGCAGTCACAAAAGAGCCTTGGCCTCGCGAGCCTCGCCGCCTACAGCCAGACACCCGCAATCGCACGCAGAAGAAGTTGACGGACTGCCCTTTCTGGACCGCGTACGGAGGCAGAGGCCGCGCTGCGGAGGCAACCTGGACACCAAATCAAAGCAAAAGCTTTCACTTATGCCTGGGCTTTAAATAATTTTTGTCGAGTGTAAGATTCATCGCCTTGCATCCCCGCCCGCCCGCAATGTGCTGCAGGTGCACGCGCTCTCCGCCTATGAGTTTGCTCGCCACTATCGCTTCAAGCTGGCCACGCATCCCCAGAGCGAGCAGGCGCACCGCAACCACATCAACAAGCCCGAGCTCTACCACGCCAACCTCACCGAGCATGGGGTTAAGAAGGTGGCGGCAGCCGGGCGGTGTCCGGCCCTCATTGCCGGTGAAGATTACCAGATCAGAGAGGCCGTGGGTGCAGAGTGGCATTGCTTGGGCCAAGGGGAACATGTGGACCCAGCGTGCCGCCACGACTGGGTGATCGTGCCCCGGAAACGGCCAGACGTACCGGTGCCATATGGAGCGCAGGGCAGCAAAACGGAAGAGGAGCAGGCCATGAAGCTTCTGCTGCTGTTCTTTCCATGGGTCAACGACGTGAGGGATGCTACCGCTGCCGTCCCCTTCATTGGCCACTTCTGGGTTAAAGGCGGCAAAAGCTGGAGAGAAGCCTTGCGCAAGCGAACCTTCGCCTATGGCTTCCCCACCGACGAAGTCAAACGCTTCGTCCTGAACTTTTGCATCGT